ATTTCTCTACGATAAATGCACAGAGCCGTCATATATATTTATTCTGTTACTACCCACTCATTTCATCGCCTCACAGCATTTTTCACCATACAACGGGCCATGAACATTCGGCTGTTCGGAAATAAAAAGATTTTCAATCTTAAAAATAATTGCGAGATCTCAGAAAGGTGCGCAGATAGCCGCCGGCGGTTCTCGTTTATCGCAGACTCCGCGTCTACGTCGGGTTCTTTCTTATCGATATTGGAATCGACGATACGGGACGGGGGCCGTCATTGGAGTGCCTCGAGAAAAAGGAACGGTGGCTCGCGTTCGCGTACGTCAGCGTCTGAAAACTCCGTTCGGCTCGGTGTCGCGTGTGGCCGAAGCTCCTTAAGGCTGCGGTCAGATTCGCTTTAAGTGCATTAAGTAAATCCACTTAGATCGAATCTTATATAAAACATCGGGTAATCAGCTTTAAATGGCTGCCAGGCAGCGCGTCAAAATGAAATTGACGCGGAATCTTCTGTCTCCTCTTCGCGACGCCATTGCTGGCGGTTGGTCGGTTCGCTTTGATCTCGATTTTCGTGAAAACTGATTTCAGGAATAGAAATAATGGATAGTAAGAATTATGGAGACATAACGAATAGGTAGATTATAAATTTCATATTAACACGTTGTTCATCGCCGCGTCACCCATGCACGGGGCGACAGTGCTTTTCGTTGAAAAACGAAAACTATTCATTCTGAAAGTTAAGTGTCGTAGAAAATGAATCTAAATGAAATACTTGAATTTTGACGAAGTTACGAAACTAAATACCGAAATAAATGTTTCGTTACGCAGTTTCCAAAAGTCTGTAAACGAAATTAAATCGCGGTAGAAATTTTCAAGCGAATTAGTCTGGCAGTGAACGTGTCAAGGTGGATGCTTGGCTCGGGTAACCCTTCGAAGATTAATTTGTTGGATTATCGATACGCTTAACGAAGAATGAACTTATTGTTCTTTCTTCAAAATTGAATCGGCGTTGTCCGAAGTGTTTCACTCCTACGTATCGCTGTCGATGCTTTAAAAGTCGAATTGTGGCAACGTGAAACATAAACAGTCGGAAGATATCAGAGATTTAAATTTAATATTGCTTTGGAGCAACCCTGATTTCCCTCTGGTGTCGAAGGTTTAGTTAGTCGACCATGAGATCTCGTATCGTAAAGACGTCCCTTACCGTCGTGAGAAATCAAATATATTTTCTAATATATAGCGTATTTGATTATTTAGAACTCCCATATCCGATACAATTTACATAAATTATCTTCGACTTATCTCGATGGAAGACAATATTTACAAATAATTACGTACGTACGAGTAGTCGCGTATTTGCTAGTGGGCTCGTATGGGATCCAACGTTGGTCAATAAAGCTAAAAAACAAAAATAATAATGAAAAAAAAAAAAGAAGTAACAAGCGGTGGAATGAGCGGAAACGGGAACAGAAAGTCAGAAACCTGGTTCCACTCGGGCCGCTCTCGCGTAGAAAAGGGGATCGGTAAAAGCGTCTCTTGTTGCGGCTCGAGCGAGACGACGTGAAATCGCTACGCGCGTTTGCCGGGTGGATTTCAGATGAAAGGTACCCTGAGAAACTGCTGGATTGAGATAGCTCCGTTTAAATGAGACCCGTACAAGTGTTTCAGACTCCGCAGTCGCTTGCTGCGGATTGTTTTGTCCTGTGTCGGGTAATCAGACATAGTGGATGCGGTTCGAGTTACAATTTATTCAAGTAGACGCTCGTCGGTATTGATTGCGGCACAACCTTCACAATTTCTCTGTGTAGACGACGATTTTCATTGGTATCCGTTACATTCGCACATTGGACATACATATATTAAATCCCATAAATATTCGTACCCTCTGTACGAAGGAATTCGAATTGAAGAAATTTATTACATTGAATTAAATAATAGTTTTGATATTACCAAACGAATTTTTCATTATAAATGTATACATGTATATATGACATGTATATATGATATGTACACATAATATATACATCAACGTATTTATACAAACATACACTTGGAAATATCAAGCGCTAGCATTTAATTTAAAGAAATTTCTTCAATGGAAGGTACGAATATTTATGGGACTGACTGTATGTCATTAGATACGCCTACAATTTATGTACAGCAATCGTTATTTTTTCTTCTATTGATTTTCTTTTAGTCGCATTTAACTATTTTTCTTTTTAATTAGCAGAAGTGAATTCTTCTACTTAAAATTGTCTCTTCCGCGAGGTTGGTATTTAATGAAAATCAAATTATATTTTCATTTCGGGGATTTGAATGTTTAAAATGAAGTAAGGGTAGAGTAATTATATTCGAGGTAATAAATTGGAACTTTTGTGAAAATGTTTATCATAATGATCGAGCTCTGCTCTCGCATCTTCAAATTATATTTTCATTTTGGGGATTCGAATGTTTGAAATGGAGCAAGGCAAGAGTAATGAAATTTGAAGTTAAATTGGAACATTTGCGAAAACTTTTCTCTCGATTTATTTCGAGTAGCGAGAGTGACTTTTGAGAGTGACCCAGCGATGCAGACAAGGTGTGGCAAACGCGTTATGCGACGTAAACGTCGTCGCGAATTACAGAGAGGAGTACGTCACGATCTCGCTTTGCATTCTCCTCGAAGGAGTAATAAGAGCAGTCGGTCTCCTGGCCGCCGTACCAGATCGCGTGCTGCCGATGCGAGATCGAGTCGCGACCAACGGTTATTAGTCGTCGAACGTTTATTTATCAACGTCCAAGGCAGTTTCGCAGGCTGCCACGAAGGTTAAGGCAGCTGTTCCATGAATTTATTTAACGTAGAATTTAAATCGACCATCCCTGGATTCATGAAAGACGATATTAAAATGTTGTAACTTTCACAGAAACTGTTATGGAACGTTGAACGATTAATCAAACGAATTATTTTGGAAATTAATCATTATTTCATCGATTCCCCAACTATTAGGTTGTCCAGAAAGTTCGTGCCAATTTTGAAAAAAAAAAAAAAAAAAACTTGAAAGGCACATTTGAATTGTAACATATATTTATTGAATTACATAGGTATCATTTTGCTCCACAAATTTTCCACCTTTTAAGGGATGTACATATACATATGTACATGTTATTTGTTTTCAGCCATTCGACATATTCAGACCTGCACCACCTATCAAAAATCGGCATGAACTTTCCAAACGACCCAATATTTATCACGTTTCTCCGTCTCGAAAAGTAGGTGATTGTGAACTAACGTCCACTTGAACTTGTTTCTAATTTCGGGTGGTATATTAAAACTGAATGCAACCCTCTATGCATAGGAAAAAAAAAAAAAAGAAATTGCTTATATGAACTGCACCGCTAACGAGGAGTTGGCCAGAAGTGGACACGCGTTTTTTTTAATGAGTCGTGCCTCAAATTGTAGGTCTTGTCGAGTTGTTCCAGAAACACCTGCTTTTTAGCAACGTGTGACGTTTTCCCGTTGAACAGGATTAAAGATCAGATTTTCTGCCAAATCAAATTCTGCCAAAGATAAAAAGCTTTCTTTTTATTTGAATATTAGATGGTGTGAATTTGAGTAAAATCGGTTCATAAATAAGAATTTTCGTAATAACTAATCCTCGATAATCTCGACGCGACAATTAATATCCGTAGAAATTTTTACGAGATTCAAGTTTGACAGCAAACCGCGTTAAGCCTCTGTGATTCTTTTTCCATCGATTACACGGATTGTCTGTAGCCGTTTCAGTCCCTCTATCGGCGCTCAATAGCCCGTTAATACGTCATTAGCCGAGCTGAGATGACTAAATCAGCGACACAGCCGCCGCCGTCGCTCGAGCGACCGATTAGGGGCGGAATCTAATTCCCTTGTGTTAGCTGGTTCATGGCACGGTCTTCTGGCTTAATACCTTGCGTTACATCGAGCGTTACCACGGGAAAGTTCGATGGATTGATTGGTCTGTTAGAACTTTGCCAGGAAATTGACAACAGCCAACCAGAACCAGAATTTAAACAATATTACGGTAAACGATTCTCCTAGACTTTGAGGATTTCTCTTGGTGGACTTTAGAATTTTGCTTTTTTCATAACGCAGAGTTATTGTATACACGAGTACGTTTCCAAAATGACGAGTAAGTCATATCTGTTTAAATTAGAGTTATAAGCAATAAAACGTAGAGGCACAGAATTAATTTCCGCGCATAATAAAATAATGTTTGCAGAAGCTAACAGTGCTCTTGAATATTAAATTACACGTTATGGTGTTCGACAAGGTGTCTGGATATTATTACATTATTCTTAGTAACGGCGCCTTATTTATAGGGTACGTGACATTAAAAAGGAAGTTTGATTTTCATTAAAACATTATTTTCCGTACAGTATTCCCGTGTAACAAATTATTTTTAAGCACAGCGTGCATATCAATTTCGAACGAAACTATAATTCGATACTCGATCGGTTAAACGGGCCCGAACAATTTATTAAATCGATAAATTTATGTTCGCGATAATCCAAAATGGAGTACGTAGTGATAATCGAAGGCAGGGAAATACGTATCTAAATTAAAATTCCGAACGTATAAAAGATAACCAGAATTTATTTCGTCATTTTTCTGGTAACCTAATTACAACTTGAATCATAAATCAACTAGAAGTACATCGAGTTACATAAACGTTGTGTATAAACTCGAATAATCTGAATGTTCACCTGAATAATTTAATCAGATGAAAGCTGCTGATAAATATCCAGCTGAATAATTTAATCAAATAAACGTATATAATGCACGTTGCGAATGTCCATTTATAAATCCCCGTTTAGTGGTCATTTGTTATTCGAATAAAATTTCGTCGTCGATGTATCTTGTCGACAATAAACAAAGAAAAATTCGCAAATCGAGAGCGAAAACGCGAGATACCGTGAGAAACGTTGTAAAGTCTTAGGAAACGTGCATAGTTTTCACGCGAAACTGAATATCTTGGTGTTTTCTGCATTGCAGGCGGTGTCGGAGAGGCTCGAGTTGGCACCAGCTGGAGGAAGATCAGAGCCGCAAGTGAGTACCACTTGAAAATGCACGCTTCGTTTTCCTTACGAATGTCATCGTCGCGGTGCACTCCGATTTTACATCCCGGCGGTGTTCACCGCTCCACGCGAGACGTCTGAAATCACTTCCGCTCAAGACACAGTCTTGCCATCCATTCTCCAACGAAATTACGCGCGACTACGCCGCGGAGCGTAACTATATCAATGCTTATAAACATGTACCTTTTATCTGGTGTGAAATAGAATCGATGTTGAATTTCCTCGTTTGAAAACACATAGAAACCAACAAGGGATGATATCGAATTATTTTGAAGTCCTGAAAAATATGCTTTGGTGTCAAAAATTAGCCAATTCCAATTTCCGTGCGTGTCTCATCGTACTCTGATCTAGCAATTTTATTCGGGATATCGGAAGCGTAAACAGACATCTACGATTAGATTGCGGATTTTTATGCATTTATGGCAAGTGAAAATAGGAGAAATCGTGCGGGAGTGTACATAAATTGAGGAATGCATAATACTTTCAATTGAATCTGAATTCTTTGTCTCGATCTGTAAAAATATTATAAGCATCTGTAGTCTAGCAATAATTTACGGTGCATGTTAATTGTTCCGTGAAAATAACAAATGTCTATATATTTATAAATGGAGGTGGTCGTATGCACACTGGACTTAATGATCGCTGGACTACGAATTATATGCATTTATAATGCGAACTAGTATAATAAACACATTCCAAACGTAATTAAAAGGTATGTGTACTCGTGCAAAATGAAATAGCAATATTATTCTAATAATCGTAGAAATATATTCCACCAAACGTTATGCATATTTCATGTACGTTTCCTGTATTATTGTTCCCCACAAATGCATAAAATGCATTCTTCTTTTAGATTTTTTTTTTTATCAATTATACAACCACAATGTATTTTAACAAAACCTTCGGTACAATAGTTCAAGGGTCCTTTTCTCGCATTTTAAAGCCTGAAAGATGAAGTTCCGGCTTCTGTTGGTTACAATCAGAAATAAATTGGGCACAAAGTTTTTTTTTCTTTTTTTTTTATGAACAAACGTTTCAGTAAATCGTTGGCCCTTTTCGAGGTTATTAACTATCGTTGAAACAAACATACAAACGAGTCAACAAAGATCGCAGAATTCTAAAACCCGAACACTCGAAACTTTTCTATACGAATCGTTGATATAATAATGGAGATACTAGTTGACGAATAGTATTGTGACGAGAATAAACATTGTACGACAATACGTTGTATTGTTTATAGAGGCGACAAGCCAATAATTTCGCATAGATATGAAATAATAGGTATCGATTCTGTTGGCCAGTCGGATAATTAGAACGGTTTCGATACAAAATTATCCATTGTTCCCTGGCATCGAAACTATCGATTCGACGTTATTTTCGTCGCAGCTTTGGTATAGATAATATTTTACTCGCCGTGGTGAATTTTCGATAGATTCTTTAGAGCTTGCAGTTTGAGAAAATTTCATATCCACGGCGGAATTTAATTATACAGTTTCGCTTCGCTGCTAAATTAAATCGTTTGAAAGGACGTAATGCAAATTTGTGCAATATACTCCAGAGACGGAGTTGGTTTTATTACTATCAGATACGATCGCGTTTAAGTGACTGCAATAAAACTTTCTGGGATACACGCGTTTGGAGAATGGAAGATTCAAGTTCGCTGTATTTATTATATCGGCGGTTTAAAAATGCTTAGGTATTTGGAAATTAATTTTTCAGTTGAATAAGGGGGACCGGAGTTATTTGATTTGTTTTGTTTTGTTTTCATTCTGTAGTAGGTAAAATTTATTTTATAGTTTGCAAGAGTATTTAATCTTTGAGTTAAACAATAAGGAATCGAGGTTGCGTGATCGATTATGAACTTATTAGATTTCGTTTATCTTTATTCTGTGTTGAAGCAATTTCATTTTTCTCTCTGAAACAAAAATTAATTTTTGTTTACTTATCTACTCGTGAAGTCGTTAATTTTTTATTTAAAGAAAAAACGAAGTTGTATGGTCGATCACAAAACTATTGGACCTCATTTATCTTCATTCTTTACCGTACAAATTTCATTTTACTTACCGAGCATTAATTCCTGTTCGTTCATCTATTCGCTAATTAATTAATTTCCAAATTAATCAAACGTGACCGATTGTCTAAACCTGTTCTACGTCACACACGAAACCGAAGCGATGCCCGCGTAAATTCCGTTTAATTTTTAAGAGAGTAAGGATAAACAACACACAAACACGTAAAAGAAAAACCTCGGTGCTTCCATTCACAGAATTAATACCGTAAAGGAAACTCTACTTCCTCTTAATTTGATTGCCCGGTAACAGAAATTGCGCATTATGCAGAGGGTTAAATAGAATTCAAGAGGCGTGCATTTCTGTCGCAACGGCGCGGACAATTCCGTAGGACCGGGTCGCAAGTGGAAACGTTCGCAACAAAATTTTGTTCGTTTCCAAGATAGCGAGGATTTCCATTCAGGCGTCTCGTAAACTCGCGCGAAAGAGCAAACTCGAAGATTAAGCGCGTCTTAAGGGTCCAAACTCCATTAGGAAGCCAAATATTAAATTGTCTTCGTGACCATTCTTTTCTTACAGGGAAAAATTTACTTAATTTTTCTCCATCTTGAAGAATATTTTAAGTATGTTCCAAAGTATATCTGGTAATTGTTTCGATTCGTTTCACATGGAAATGTTTGAGATATCAGCTGTTAAAGAGACAATACTATTTAAAAAAAGAAGTAAAACGTGATATCTCGAAGCATTTCCGCGTGGAACGAATTCTGAAATTGACCGAATGTAAAAAAAGCATTGCGTAAATTCACCTTCGTAAAAAATATCGCAAGAAACGTTTTTAACCGTTTGCACTCGAGAGGTGACTAAGTTTTCTTTAGGTTGAATTTCTTTGGAACTCGAAGTGCCAGTAAAATGATTGTCATTGAGGCATTAGGGTGACCTGATTCTCAAATCTCAAATTAGAGATCTCATTTTCGAAGCCAACACATAATCGTAGCACTCGTGGCAATAGAACGCTAAGAAAGCGAGCGCAAAGAGTTAATACTCGGACTCCTAATGTGGTTTCCTCCCTCGATCCGTCGTATCGTGGAATTTCGTTTTATTTCGTGGCCGGATGTCAGGCAACGATATTGGCTTGATTGTTTATGCGAAACGTACCTGCTTTTTTTTTTTGTTTTTCGTTAAGGTTGCAACGTTATGCGAGGCGGGGGACGTGTATCTGGCACAGCACATGGGCGAGCAGGGACGTTGGGTCTCCTCGGCTGACAAGAAGAGTTGCATGACGGACAAGCTCGAGATCCTCGAATACTGCAAGAAGGTAAGCGGGCGGAACGTAACGTAATCCTAATCGTAACGTAATCGAACAATTTCTTTCGACAACAGTATTGTCTCTGTTACTTCGTAAATGGCTTCAAACATTTTGCCTTTCTATAGATGTACAGTTAGAATTGCCGTAGAGTCTGAATCTTTCGAGCGACACAAACCACCAACGGAAGGCCAACAATAGTTTATAACATGCTCGCGTAGCTAGGCTGTTTTTGAGTTTATGCTGATATTGCCGTCGATATCAATCTAGTTGCGACCGTCGCACAGTGCGGACAAATAGCAAAATTGTGGACAGAAATCAAAATTTACATTACTAATATAAATATATTGCTATTTATTCACAAAAAGAAATTAAAATTAACCGTAAACATTAATAAAATCACAACAAAATGAACAAATTTAACAAAAAATTAACAAACCCCGATTTTGACGAAACTTTGTATACTTGTTTGTGGGATCTTCTTATGAATTACACCATCCTCGGTACGTGCGACTTTTGCATTTTGAGAATGTACGAGTGACAAATGAAAAGTAGGAGAGATACACCGAGGTATCTTCAATTGTCACTCCGAGTTAACTAACTTGTAGGAACCTGCTGGATTTACCGAAATAAAGTTGAAGTTATTTGTTAAAAAGTGTTAGACACTCGTTCCAGTTCTACTACTTCGATAGTTTCATTAATTCGGTTGTCATTAACGTTCGCATCCGAAGTGAGCATATCAGAAAGACGTTCTTTCAAATACAACGCAGTTATTTTGCTCACGCCGTAACAATCTCGAAATAAGCAACTCTGTCGGGGCTGGTGAGTTGCTTACTTCGAGGGAGGTACGCTATTCGGCTCGACTTTGTTCTCGACGAAGGGGAAGTCGTAGAAAAAAGAAGGGAGTTCGGTGTAGCAGCAAACTACATACAACTAACAGTATTGTTTTCGGAGAATACACACGCCAGAGGAAGGGAAAACATTTTACACGTGTTCTGTGCTCTTTCCACTGATCTCCTCGGCTTCCCGTTTTCACGAACATATCACTTCTTTTTGAATTTCTCACTCTGCGTGCGACTTCAAACAAAATGGTGGGAATACCGAGTTGCTTATTTCGAGACAATACCGTATATTACGAATGCACGTGCAGATGTACATATCGTCTTATTATGGACGTGTACGAGACAGCATTTTTAAGAAAGTTTCGAATTATATTGGGTTATCTGGAAAGTACATGGCGATTTTTAGTAGGCGGTACAGGTCTGAATGTATCGGAATGGTTGAAAACAAATAACACGTATACGTCCCTTAGAAGGTGGACAAATTGTGGAACAAAATGGTAGATATATAATTCAATGAATATATGTATATTAAAATTCAAACGTGTCTTTGAATGTTTCTTAAAAATTGGCACGAACTTTCTGGGTAACCCAATATTTTCGTGCGCAACCGTCACGAAATAACTACCTTAACTTTCACCACGTGAACCACCGTTTTATAATTACTTCTCCCAATATCGTTTCTCCGCGAGGGGAAAACGAGAGGCGAACATTGATTTCAAAGTAAACCGTTCCAATTAGTGTTCCCCTTACCGACACAAGAACGATTCGCGCCATTAAATTATGCAACGCGGAAAAAAGGTAGCTGGTGAAACTTCGATAATCGTCGCGTGGGCGCAAAAGTATTCCTTCACCTTGAGCACAGCCATGCGTCGGAGAGCCCGTAAAAATGTTCAATCGTGCACGAACGTACTGCATTAGTTTGCCACGCATTTACGCAATGCAAAGAAAGCACAGCGACAAGGAGAGGAGGGTGGATGCCACTCGTTATTGAAAGGATCGCAAGCGTTCGCGTCGATTCGAGGAGCTCTCTTTTTCCTTTCTTTTCATTTTGTTTTTTCAGTTTTTCTTCTTCTCTTTTTTTTTTCTTTTTTTCTTTTAATTGACAGAAATAGACAAGCGACGGTTTCAATAACCGGGCGAGTTACCAGCGCGTTCTGACGTTGATGCACGTCTGCGTTATCCGGTGAAAGGCACGATAATTTGGTGGTTCGAAATGAACATTCCAGCCGCAGTTGCATTGACGCGTGCAGCCACCCCGTGAATATCGAACCCGGTCGCTTGCGAAATGACATCATTCGAAATATTAGCAAATTGAAATTTGAAATAAATGCGACGACGATGAAACGGGAAAAAGATTATTCGTAACGCTCGATATTTAGGAACAAATTCGATATTTAGTATTTAGAATGATGAATTTAATTTTTATTTGTTAATTATTTCAAGTAACGTATTATTCTGTTTTATAATTATTTGAGATAATTGTTTGAAATTGAAATTGTTATTGGAGATATTATGTCGAATTCTATTACTTTTTTTTTTTTTTATATAATGAATGTTTTTGTTTTAAATATATTTAAATTAATTCGTACATTTTTAAAAAACACTGTTAGCGATCATATACACTCTAGAGCACGAGTCTACTTTTATTAATTGCGTCCACTAGATATATGATTTTATACTTTGTCTCGAGATTTAATTTACTTCCATTACTTTTTTCTTCATATCCTACATCAAAGATCAGAGAATTATTCTCACATAATCTGCGTTTGAATTTTTTTAGGCTTACCCTAAGAGAGACATCACCAACATAGTCGAATCATCGCACTACGTGAGGGTCAGCGGTTGGTGCAAGCCAGGGAGGACCAAGTGCAAATTGTCACGATGGGTGAAGCCGTACAGATGTCTAGGTAGGCATCGTTTTAATAAATGCACCTAATTTTTGGTACTTTTCACACTTCTCGTATTATGGAAAATATTGTTTGATATACAGACGGGTGATTATAGTTTTATTTATTGTGTATCGTGCTGCACTTGGATTCGAGCCATTTCGGTAGTCGAATTATATTTAAACCACTTAAGTGATTGAATTATATTTGAACGATTTAAGTGGTCGAATTACATTAGAACCATTTCAGTGGTTGAATTATATTTAAACCATTTAAGTGATTGAATTATATTTCAATAATTTAAGTGATCGAATTATATGTGAACCATTTCCGTAGTTGAATTATATTTGAACTATCTCAGTGGTTGAATTATATTCATCAAATATTTGAGCACCATTTCAGTGGTCGAATTTTATTTGGATTATTTGAGTAACCGAATTAAACTTGATCCATTTAAGTGGTCCAATTAACTTTGTCCACTATTTCAACCGTTTTAAATAGTTTCATTTATTTCTTAACGTTTCTCGTGCCTTCATAAAAAAAAAACAAAAAAAAAACACATTCATCTGAAAATCTTTGCAATCCCAGGTTCGTAAAATCGTAAATCAGAACTTATGATCGCATTCAACACACACCAGCCATAAAACATTTCCCATTTACCAGTCGCTGGTCTGATTGAGAGAATATTTGAACCATTAGCGTACAACACGGCTTACGATCGTGCACTTTAACGAGGGTAAAGCATTCTGCTTGCATCGAATGACTCTTTAATGGCATCATCGGTGTATTCAATAGTCATTCATTATCGTATCGTAAATCTCGTAAATGAGATCTTCATCCACGTTCGTTTCGCCTTTAAGAGCCTGGACAATTATACCCCCGGTGCAAAATTACGCTTTTATCGATGCCTGCGTCTCGATGGCAACTAGTTTTACGTCTAGATAAATATATTGAATCGTTTAACCGACGGTTGCATTCGTTCACGTTGCGCCACGTGAAAGTAAAACGAGTTCATAGAAAAGAATGATGTAGGTGGATAAGAAGCCACCGTATTGTTTGAACTTTTCTTAGGACTTTAGAAACAATGGGTAGGAATAAAACTTTTGAGATGAGCTCTGCAATCCGACGTTGAGGAAGTTTTTCATTCAAAAAACTTTCTACTTCTTCTTAACTATTATATCAAGTCAGAAGTTTAGAGTCGTTCAAGTATTAATAGAGTCCAAAGGAAATTTTATTTGAATATGCTTCGAACTGCATTTATGGACCAGATATGAACGTCGATCCTTTTAAAAATTAATTATTCCAATTCTCCATTAAGTAAGTAGAATTAGAGAGGATTTTTTTATATCAATGTATGTATATTAATTATTATTACAATAATTTTTACATGTTGTTAGTACGTGTCATACCTGAGCAAATTTTAATCGAAACGAAAACAAGAAATAACTGTTTGTAATCATTTATTTTCTTCTTCTATTTCTATATATTGAGCATTATATAATACATAAACAATCAACAACGCAGGTTAATAGGTTCCCATTGATAAGCACACGAATTGAAAATCCTATAAACAGATTCCCAGTCGATGAAACGTTTACGCTCTCTCCTTCTCCCTTCGTCAGAAAAAGAAATCGTTTATTGCCTCCGACGAAGCGTTCTGTTTGGGTACAATGAACCAGAAGTCGCGTTTCGTGACAGTAACCGACTGCGTTTTGTCGTGTGCACGTTAAGGAAGTCGGTGAAAGAATTCAAGCCACTTTCCAGGGACTGTTTATAGCTTTATGAATTAGACCGCCACCTGAGGATCGCGCACAGGTTTACGTGCAGTCCCAGCGAGTCACTCTGATTCGCAGTTTCAGCCGTATTGATTCTTCGGGTTGTGTCGAGTACTGCGTACAGCGACGGCGAGCTCGCGTTAAGGGATTGAGCAGGCACGTACATCTACAGGGTAGCACGAAATTCACGGTCGAATTGTATTTTAAACATTTCAGTGGTCGAATTACATTAGAACCATTTCTGTGGTTGAATTATATTTAAACCATTTAAGTGATCGAATTACATTTGAGCCATTTCAGTGGTTGAATTATATTTGAACCATTTCAGTGGCTGAATTATATTTAAACTATCTCGGTGGTTGAATTATATTTGAATGATTAAAGTGATCGAATTATATTTAAACTATCTCAGTGGTTGAATTATATTTGAGCCATTTCAGTGGTCGAATTACATTTGAGCCATTTCAGTGGTTGAACTATATTCATCGTATATTTAAGCACCATTTCAGTGGTTGAATTATATTTGAATCATTTCAGTAGTCGAATTACATTTGAGCCATTTCAGTGGTCGAATTACATTCGAGCCGTTTTAGTGGTTGAATTATATTTAAACTACTTCAGTAGTCGAATTACATTTGAGCCATTTCAGTGGTTGAATTATATTTGAACGATCGAAGTGCTGGAATTACATTTAAGCTATTGCAGTAATCGAACTATATTCAACGAATATTTGAGCACCATTTAACTGGTTGAATTACATTTGAATCATTCTAATAACGGACCACCCTGTATGTTGCACAATGCGACGCGATTTCTGCGTCGTGTACATCGTCCCGGGCGTAGGTGTGTCCCCGCGTAGGACACAACTCGTTTCTTTTCACGGTCGTTTCTTTCCAGAGGGACCGTTCCAAAGCGACGCGTTGCTCGTGCCAGAAGGTTGCCTGTTCGACCACCTCCACAATCAGACGAAATGCTGGGAATCTCACAGGTAAGGAAGTGAATTTCACCGTGGGGAAGAAGCGACGTGCCAAGTATCGATTCACGCGTCTGTCCAGCACCACGTAACTCTGTCCTTAACACCGACTCCGCGTTATTGGAATTCGCGGTTCAATAATTCCCTCGCTTCTAGACCATTGTTGTGTGCCGGTTCACTGCATTCTCGTTGAATATATGTACGTAGACATACTTGGTCAATATATGAGCCGTTTCTATTGTCGAATTATATTCGAACTATTCAAACGGTCGAATTATACTCGTCCAATATTTGAACCACTCGAGTGGTTACACATAGAAAATAAATAAAAATAGTCTGTACATCTACGAACGGGTTTCGAATTTTCTGTGGAATACGTGTCGGTTTTTTTTATTTTATTTCGCACCACCACACTTGAAGCAATCAACGTTGGATCCATTAAAAGTGAGAATTTGTCGACACAAAGAGCAACAACGTCGAGGACGATTATATTTTCACGATTCGGCCATTACTGTCAAACCTCTTCGGGGTACAACCGGGAGGAGAACAATATTATTTGATTACGAGAAGAGTTTTAACGCGTGTAATTGAAACATTCGGCAAACGAAGCATTCCGTTCTCGCGCATAAATGTTATGGAAGTGATTGAATTCAATTCGTCGAAATGGTCGATTTGTTTCAGATATTTTCGGGTTCTCGTATTCTACGGTTGCTAATTTAATTTCAACTTGCGCGCGCTCCACTTGATTGTCCTATTTTCCAATTTCCGTTTCTCATTATTTCCCCTCTTTCAAGTGTCAGGCGAAGTGTTTTATATAAAACCATCACAGACAGGTCAGACACATGGTTAATTTAACACCTTGAAATATATATATATATAGTTTGGAAGGTTTCAAGAACGACTACCCAGGAGTGCATGACTAAAAATTTAATTGAATATTCCGTTAAATTTTCAGACGGAATTTCAAGTACTCTATTTACAATTAGTATCTTACTGTAATTACTCCAAATAATTTAGTATCATCGATTAACATCGCGCTAGAATTACGCTTTGTTTAAATTCTCGATTTCAGTTAAATTCGAGGAACAATAATTACCCGCGTTAATTTTTTTGTTATCGCATAAGGTTGACAAGTTCAACTTCCGGATGGTTTAATTGAGGTAGAAGTTGTTCGGTACAAATTATTAATAACGCATAATCGTATACCAGCCATAATTTCTCTTCGCGTTAAAAGTTTCTACTTTGATCAATCAAACATTATATCCCCCCGCGTATCCGAACCTTCAAATACGTTTGATTGGCTTTCGTTTACCTTTCACTGCAAACGAATTAACTTCGCGTTAGTTGCGATAGAGCCAAATGGTATTCATTTGGAACCTATGTATACGAATAGTTTGTAGACGTTCGATCGTGTTTAACACGTTGACTGCCAAACGAATATTCTTGAAAAGTTCTGCTAAGATTAAATATTATTTAGACTATCGGAGTCTAGGTAATGAAATATTTATCGTGGTATTTAGTTTTGTAACCGCATAAAAACTCATGGATTTCATTTAGATTCATCTCCTGTGACGTCTAACTTTCAGAATTAATCTTTCTAGTTCTTGAGTGAAAAACACTGTCACCCATATATGGGTGACATGGCGATCAACGTGTTAATTGACTTTACATATCATCATTCAAATGTGTTTCTACCAAGTATTTAACAGTTTCATCATGGACAGATAATCGAATCACCAAAGTTTTCGAATTTTCAGTTACAACAAAAT